CCCCCCCAATAACGTTCAGGGCATCCAGATTTTTTTCTTTCCAACTCTGCTGTAAGCACTGGTCTTCTTGATAGTAGTGGACATAAAAAAAAATATTCCAGTCAGAGCAACTGATTCAAAGACAAAAAGAATGTGAAAGAAAATCAGGGCAGACCCTGAATGTATAACATATTATTACTACATACGCCAAAAGGGGACAAAAAAGGCAATCTCTTCTTTCCCCTCACTTTTCCCCCTTTTACAAAGAAGAAAAAGTTCCGATTCATCGCAACAAGTGGCAGGCCTGCAGAGTATTTTTGCTGTCTATCATTGCCAAAGGTTGGTGGAGAGCGTGTGTCCTGAGTTGGGAGCGCCCCAGGAGCTGCCGGCACCGCTCCCCGGCACGGCTTGTTGGGGAACCCCGCCCATCTGTGAGCCGTTCAGCTTCATCGACGTCATCTGCTGCTGCATCTGTGAGGGAGACAGGGAGACAGACAGAGGACGGGTTTTTGAGAGATGCTGACTCGTTTTTTTGGTTTTGGTAAGTGCTTTACGGCATTTATTTTAGTTTTAGTAGAGGTTTCAGGGTGCTTCCAACTGCATAAGGTCATATGAGCGCCAGAAGATTAGAGGTGTTATAAGAGAGTAAAAAACATAAAAAAGAAGAAGGAAAGATAAGGACGATAGATGTTTGATAGAAAAGAAGAAGCAAACCACACCAGAGCACCCGCCAACCGCCCACTCCAACAAGTTTGCTCACCTGCTGGAATTGTAGCTGCTGCATCTGCTGGGGTGTGTACATCCCTGGGTTTGCTCCCATCATCTGTTGCTGCCCGTTGTACACATTAGGCTGTGGGAAGGGGGTGGAGGGAAAAAAAAAGAGAACATCAATGTAATTTTTGCCACAACATGTGGGAAACATAAAACTAAAACCATTTCATATAGCTTTCATTCAAAGTAGGGAACTTTTAAGATACAATCGAACCTGCCTTAACAGAAACCTGTGTAAAATGGAAACGTGTCTCCACGGAATCTCCCCGCTCCCCCCTTGATATATTCCTCTTTAATTATATGTATAAAACGGAAACCTGTCTAACGCAGAAACGGAAAGAAAAATCCGCTCCCTTCCGAGGGTTTTACCTGTCTAAGACGGAAAATGCTTTGCCCGCTCAGCCCTGATTTGAAACAAAACTTGCAAGTTTGGTTCCGCCGGCTCTAAACTTAATGCCATGGCCATGCTACTGGGCGAGGAAGGGGAGTAGGGGTGCAATTCGGGGGTAGATGTTACCCCATCATGTGAGCCCTGAGCAATGTAGATGGTCAGGGTAGTGTGGATGTGAAATCTCACAACTGCCCATGAGAATGCTCGAGTAGCGAGCCACTACGGAAACTTTCCTGGGTAGCCAGAAGCCAGAGGTGTAAAATTAGATCGGACCAATGCCTGCTGCCCTGATCGTATGGCCAGCCGAAAAAAGAGTTCCTCAAATCATTGTTACATGATGACAGTGAGGGATGGCATTGGTTGACAGTGCGTTTTACACCTGTGGGTGGGGCCAAGGGCGGAAGCAACGGAGATGTTCAAACGTTTTTATTTTTAATAGGTCTAACAGTGGTCCTGTGAAAGGCAAGCACTGGTGATAATTGGATAAATAAGACTGACGCATGTCATTATTAGAGAGGACAGCACATGAGAGGTGACGAGCGATCTTTGATCCCACCAGCTGGGCCTTTGAACCCCTGCCCCCACCCTTTCCATCTCCCCCTAAATTCCCCTGTCTAAGACGGAATTTTTTTCAGGCTCCCTTGCGATTCCGTCTCACACAGGTTCGACTGTCTAGGTGTCTTTTACGCTCCACACTGACACAAGTGAGATAGGCTTCTACCCTGTCTGTCAGTGTCAATGGGATAGAGCATCCCAGCAGAAAGACCAAGACACTCAATAAAAGTTCTCCGCATATGAGAAGGACCAGAAATAAAATGAGTTTTTTTGACAAGGTTTCGAAGTACAAGACACAATAACCCACCTAAGATGGTATACCCTAGAACATTGCTTACTCCTAACTTTTTTTCACGACTAGCACAGGAAGTGGAAGACAAAAGCATGCACCCTGTCAATGCTCACACACACACACACACGTGCCAAAACTTTCTGAACTTATAAACAGACCTGGGACCCGTTCATCATTTGCTGTCCCATCATGCCTTGCTGCGGGCCCATCATGCCCTGCTGTGGTCTCATCATGCCTTGTGGATTTCCCATCATGCCCTGCTGCTGTCCCATCATGCCTTGCTGTTGCTGTCCCATCATGCCCTGCTGCTGTCCCATCATTCCTGGCTGAGATCCCATCATGCCTTGCTGAGGTCCCATCATGCCTTGCTGTGGTCCCATCATGCCTTGCTGTGGTCCCATCATTCCTTGCTGGTACATCTGTTGTCCCTGAGGCATGTAGACTCCACCTGTAAGCACAAGTGACACATCCAATCAAATAAGGTCTCAATAATACCATTCAAATATAAACTAACTGACAATGTTAATACAGAATTCATTCATTTGTTTATACGTGTATTCGATTAAGAAACACATAAAACACACACACATGCACACACAAAATGTTAATACTCAATAGCTTAAAAAATGTTATTTAAATAAACCAATACACTATCTCGACAAAACTAAATAAAGTCAATACAAATAAAAGTCACACGAGTTTACTCCCACAAAAACACACAGTAGCATTTATGCACAAAATAAGGTATTAAAAAAAATATTCAAATATGTGCCAAGCAAGTGAAGCAAGAGAGGTGGTTATAGCGTACATCAATCCAGCTTGAGTTTCATGCCAAGGCAGACCCTTAGATTAATCAGGAAAACCAAAACACACACAAAATATATGCATGCACATACGGAGACAGGAGTCCCAATATAGAATGCACAGTGAAAGTGAAATAATAATAATATAATAATACAATAATGTAGAAGAAAGTGCACAATATTTGCATGAAGCATATAATCACTGAAGAAGGCAATGAAGACTGGGCACAATGAAAATTTACCCCCCCCCCCCCCCCCCCAGCCCCAAACAAAAAAAAAAAAAACCCAACCCAAAAAAAAACAAAAAATACCTTCAAGTAAAGTTTGCAGGTTTTTTAATATATATATGTTAAAATACCATACCACAGTGGTCTAAACACTATTAAAACACAACTAGAACAGAGTTTGTATTGTTTGTCAAAGAAAGAATATTTCAATACCCCCCAGACTGATCTACTTCTACAGACACGATGCAGAGTACTGAAGACAGCTGTAGCTTCACAGATTGTAACAGACGTAAGAGCCAAAACAAACTTATAAATATATATATATATATACATATATATATATATATATATATAATATATATATATATATATAATGAAGGTGAAAAAAACATCTTTTATAATAATAACACAACCCATCATGAAACTGATGTATCTCTATAACAGTGTACATCATTTCAAAGACAGTGCATTTTTGTGCCAGGCTTACTTTAAAGTTCCAAATTAAAGATGTTTTGTTTTTGATAAGTCTCTAATATAAAAAAACCTGTATAATTTAAGAGTACGAGTACTTATATAATATTTCATGATGGCTGACTAAAATACCTATTCGCTGAACTGAGATTTTTTAAAAGTATACTATGTAGGCAAAAGATAGTTTTTCTTCTCATTTGTTGCCTCTTAACTTGATCTGACATCTATATAACTTTTTAAAAAATTATGTAAAGCAAAGAGTATGGAAAAGAAAGCATTAGACTACTACGAGAAGTAGGATATAGATCTATGTAGCTAACTTAGCTTTAGTCATTGACTGATTATTCTTTTTGCAATTCACACGACTTAGAAAAAGAGCAGTCTTAAAAACCTATCTTATATTAAGGGAAAAGGAAACAGTTGAACAGCTTTATAAGTAGATAGGCTCTTTTATGTTCTGAAAGCACAGTGTGAAACAAAGAAATAAGTAAGGGAAAAAGCTATTTATGAATTAGAAAACTGCTTTTTGAGGAAAATGCTCTAATCCATCATGGTTACTCTGTCCCTGGAGTTTTATGCACCCCGCATAATTTAGCAAAATTTGATCATTTTTAAATAACAATTTCTGATTATTTTCTTTAATCATTCTTTTTTAAAAATTAACAGAATCGCATAATTTCACATTTTTGGGCTCAGTTTGCGTAATTTCAGAATTTTTTTTGCATAAAACCGAGGGGACAAAATGCTGAAAAGCATCGACCAGGCAGCATGGTTTTTACAGTGCACAGATAGTTTCAGTGTTGCTAATATATTTTTTAACTTAATATACGTCAGTCGAAATTAACTGAGTGCTCAAAACTTCAATTACACTTAACCTTAAGGCACAGTAATCCAAATAAAAAAATCACAAGATCTAGGTCTATACCCAACAAAACCTATGTTAACATTGCAATTAGTACTTCAAACTTTCAATCTCCACTCTTGTGTGGGGGACTTTGGATTTTAAAAAAACCAACCTAAAAACTATTTTGTTTCAATCACTGGGAAAGTTTTCAAATTAAAAAAACAACTATATTTCACTTAAATTTCAGCTGATCACAAGAGACCTCAATTAAATTTATTTACTCCTTAAAATTTCTGCAGTTTGAGCTTGTCAGAGAGATGAAAAGGAAAACCCTTGAGAATATGGTCAAGAAGGTCCACAACTGACCAAAATAAGGCAACACAACTCTAATTAAAACAATATATATTCTTGAAAAAAAAAGAAAAAGCAGAGCAAAATGTCACCGCTGGAAAATGGTCATGAGACCACCAAGAAATATTGGGCAAAAGGCTTCCATTTCAGAGAGGAAGAAACTTTTTAATTTCATTGGCAAATCGCAAATGAAGTCTAAAATACATTCCTTGTCTGAGGAAAACAAGGCCTTCTTTTTTTTTTGGACAAAGTCAAGTGTGGCAGACTGCTGAGTCAGCTTTCAACAAACAGGTCTACCCATACTGACGTAACTTACAAGTGAACCAACAGTTTTATATTATAATAATAAAAGATTGCATTTGTATTGCGCACATCCTCGTTCAACAGCAAGCTCTATGCGCTTCACAAAATATACTATTACCCCAGCAGACCTGAGAGCATTCTGAAACAACCTCAACTTCCTGGGAAGCATACAGTGCAAGCAGCCATTTATAGGCGCTAAAACACAAACACACTGACAAGATCTTTCGCTGAAGTGAGGAAAATGTGAGTAAAGTGTCTTTCCCAAGGACACAACGCCGGGCCCGCGGCTCGAACCCCTGAACCCGCAACCTCACGATTGCAAGTCCGGTAGCCTAACCACTCAACCACCATCAGCCAGTAGTACAATTCTTTATTCAAAGAAAGCCGAGGGGGTTATCACTAAATTGCCAAAATTAAATATTAACCACCCACCATCCCTTAATAATCACTGATTCAATAGTGTAACGTTTTTTCATTCACATGACATCTTCTTGTGCCTTTTCTTGCAGATAAATAAATCCACAAAAACAAATGAACACACAGACAAAAAAAATATGGGACATGTATTGACAATGATGAATGCTCCTGCAAATTACAGAAATGTGTGGAGACAAGAAGAGTAGCATCATTGCTACAAACCATGCAAAAAATTCATAAGGAAAAAAAAAGCCCCTTCAGAGCTGCATAGTCAGGAAATAGCACGGTGTGATTGGTGCATTAAATTCTAAGACTGAAAAAAGTGCCTTCCAGTATGAGAAAGTCCGTCTAAAAATATGTTTTCCCTGTTTTTTTTAATACACATGAGAACCTGCTACCACGGGTCAAAAAGCTGTCAAAGATCACATGATATCTTTGTGGTAGGCCTACTTTAAGATGGAAAAAAAAATAAAGTTAACATTTTCTGGTAACATTGCATTCAAACAAAATGCTCATTTCTCAAAACTGTCACTGTCACTAGGAAGATTTACTTCTCAAATGTACAAAATCACAAATGATTTTCCTACTAAAAGACTAAGCACGTATAACTCAGAGAAAAAACCTCCATATTTACTTGTGCTTTAACATCTCTGTAAGATTTGGACAGGGATAAACATCAGAAAATAATGCAAAAAAAAGCTGAGATGCTCAGCAAAAATAATAAAACCGACAACAACAACAACAAAAAAACCCTCAAAAACATTGCAAAGAAGAACTGCTTCAACCTCCATAATCATAAGGTCCCTTTTGTGACAGAGAGGAAGGCAAATAACGAAAAGAGCATCAAATCCCTCATCCACCATGCAAGGCAAGAGACCAAAAAACCACCGCCCTTGAAGGAAGGCGGGACGGTGGAAAAAAGGGGGGCAGCAGGAGAGTCCAAGGCCAAACGCTGGCAGCCATGAACAACAAGTCGTTATTACCTGGCACACCATAAAACCCAGGCCGCACCTGGCCCCCGTAGCTGTTCCACGACTGGGCCGCTCCCACAGACGCAGCACCAAACCCTGCAGCAGACGTCTGCTGCTGATGCTGATGCTGCTGCGGAGTGATTCCTCCCGGCATTTGTCCTATGTTTCCAGAGGCAGCTTGCGAGTTTGTTGAAGCTTTTGCTCCAAACGGAACGGGCTGCTTGCCAAAACTTGAGGTGGGCAGTGGCTGCTGAACGGGCGAGGTGTAGGAGGCAGTCTGGAAGTTGTTGTTGGCCGCGTAACCCACGGAACCACCGAGTGAGCCCACCGGCTGGCCTTGGCCTATGTAGCCCATTTGAGCAAAACTTGATGCGGGTGGGAGGAAAAGGCCAGGATTTCTACCGGGAGCAGCATCATGCATTTTGATTAAATCGTCGGATCCCTTGACAAAATGTTGTGTTGCAGAATTTGCTGGTACCGGTACCACATTCCCGGCCATTTCCATGGCTGCTGAGGACAAATGTCAGTCAAGTGGTGCAAAATGGTAAGGGAGTGCACACAGACCCGGTAAAGGGGAACAAAGTCACGAAGTATACAGACCCGGTAGAGGAAATCTTTTGTGATTTCGGAGTTTAAGCCCCCTCTTGGTTCAGGGTAGACTTAGGTTCTTCTACATCTATGGCCTAGGTCTAGATCTAGACAGACAGACATAAATCATTTATCTAGTTTCGAGACCTAGATCTCAGTGAAGGTTGCGGATGTCTTTTCGATGAGCGATCGTTTTTCCTCCGTTTTGTAGTTGAGGATCAATAAGACAATTTAAAGAAAAGAACAATGTCATAATTTCAATCGAGCAGTCACCCTCTCTATTTCTCTGTCTCTCTCCATCTCTCTCCCCCCCCCTCCCCCATCTCTTTCTCGCTCTCCTCTGTCGTCTTCTCTTTCTCTTCGTTTGTCTTTGTCTTTCTTTTCCCCCCCACCTTCTTACCCACTTTATCTTTCCCTCGTTCCCTCCTGTCAACTGGGGCATGTGATATTTGCTAGCACTTTCCCCTGTTCTCTACCCCCTCCACCCCCCCCTCTCTCTCTTTCTCTCTCTCTCTCACACACACACACACACAGTCTACCGGGTCTGGGTGCTGAAACTTTCTGAAATCACAGATCTCCCTTACCGGGTCTGCATACTTCGTGACTTTGTTCCCGGTTACCGTCTCTGTATACACTTCGAAATAGTCAAGATCACATCACATCAGGTAACAGGGGCCAAAAAGAATAGGCAGTGTACCTTAAAAATAACCCCCCCCCCCCCCCCCCCCCGGCAAGTCAGATGAAGAAATCCTTTTGTGTGAGTGAAACATCTACTTACTACAAATAAAACAGTCATTATGAAGGTGTTTTAGAAGTTATGGGATGGGTATATGAACATTAAAAAAAAAAAACCCAAAAAACTTATGTAATTTTCATTCATAGAATTTATTGAAAGCGGTGAAATAATCATTTTGATTTTTAGCACATATTTAATCCAATTTTCAACTAATTTCACAAGTTTTTAGCCCATATTTTGGGCTTCCTATCCTGTGAGAGTCTTCCCCAAAAGAACTTGCAGCTGAGTACCAGTCATTGATCCATCTTGCTTTCATTTTTGCATGATTTTCATTAATGCCCTATTCATCTTGTGGTAGTTTATGACATTACCATTACACATAGAATGGCAGTTATTTGCCGAATGCAAAAATAATGATTTTACTGCAGGCATACAAATAAAAAAATAAAAAAAACAGCACCCCACCAAAACCTTCCATAAAAAAACCCCATATAACATAGTTGTTTTCTTAAATTTATGTGAAAACCATAAACACATAATAAGCAGAATAATTTCTGCGCAATTTTTGAAAAACTTGTAAGAAAATCTGTTTCCCTCACAAGGTTTCAGATTTCAGAACATCCTTTCAGCGCAAAACGTTGTATGTAAGATAACTGCTGGGGCTAGAGGTTTGCTTTTAAATGATCAAAGAAACTGACACACAATGAAAGAAGGGACTGTAAACATTTTTTTTCAAGTAAGTTCACCTTTGGAGCAACAAAAAGTCAACAAGTCAAAGGAAGGAATATAAAAAGGACCCCCCCCCTCCCCGGTCCATAAATGGAGTGCAGCTATATATACAGAATAAAAAGTAAAAAAACAAACATAAAAAAAATTATGTACACATTATATATCTGTTCATCGAGACCGAGACACACACACACACACACACAGCAGAAGAGAGAGAGGAAGTGAGAGAGAGGAAGTGAGAGAGAGAAAGAGAGAAAAAGAGGAAGTGAGAAAGAGGAAGTGAGAAAGAGAGGGAAAAAAAAGAGAGAGAGAGAGAGAGAGAGAGAGAGAGAGAGAGAGAGAGAGAGAGAGACAGACACACAGACAGAAACACAGACAGACACACAGACAGACACACAGAGAGACAGAGACGTTAGATCAAAATTTGTACAAATGGCAAAAAAAGTGCACAATACATTCTAAAAATACAACAAAAAACAAAACAAAAAGATTTCAAGCTTGATATTGAGTGTGTTGGTCAAATACACAAAATCAAAGTTTTAACAAATATCAGCATTTTACTTTGTAAGGCAATTTGTAAAAACGTGGTAGAAAAGGAGTGTGGTGTCCCCATAAATCTTTGAATAAACTATCCTCAAAATGTTGAAATGTGCACTCCACAGGAAATGAGAAGTTTAAAGAAAAGAAAAAGGAAAACAGAGGAAAAAGAAGAAGTAAAATTTTGTTTATAAATGTGAACCCACGAAAACTTTGCTCAGGACAGATATTCTAGATTCAAAACTGGCACTTTAGCATTTTCAATACAGGCACAGGGCAGAAACAAATGACCAGTACAGAAATACAAGCATCACTTAAAAAAATATTCATCTCCTTTCCCAAGAACAGAGGAATATTCCAGTCCCTAAAACAACCATCACAGGACTCGATTGCTTATAGAAGAATGAGAAAACACAACAAACTTGAGCTCAGAGAGTACATTATTGAGGGCCAACAGAACACCTGTTCTGGACTGTTATTTAAAGCAAATAACACAAAACGTAATTAGGAAACAAAGAAAACTTCTCAACCAGATACTGGCAAAGAGTCCCTCTAACTCTTGCGACTGGTGGCTCATCTAGCCACAATAATTCCCATAAGCAGTAGTAACAGAACTATGTTTCTTTGAGCTGATGCTAAGCTTGGCTGAAAAGAAAGCAGATAAAAAACTGCGGATATGCGCGTCTTTGCAGAAAAGAGCAAAGCAGAAACCCATACATTTAAAACAAATAATTGCATACCCTTAATAAACTAAATTTAGGCAAATGATTAATCAGGCCAGAATTTATGAGGGGAAAGGCCCAAGATTAATTCATTAAAAAAGCTAACTTAAAGCGTTAGACGAATTCATTCTGAAAATGGTTGTGCAATCATAAAACAGAAGTTTTTCTGAACTATTCTTTCCTGATTTAAAACGGAACAACAGATAGAGGAGACTCCAAGATGAACAATCTCAAAGCACATCGAGGTCATTATTAACTAAACGAAAAATAAAAATAAAATAAAACACCTTTAAAACCGCACCAAAAATATATGAGTCCTCTGTTTTCGATGTGTCCACTAAGTTAAGTCTAAACATAACTAGAATGAATCCCTCTAATCTTAGTACAAGGAAAGACGAGATGCCACGTCTTGGCTCCTTCCTCGTCCAACGAGAAAATAGCCCCTTAAAAATTTGGTTTTGTTTTCAAAATGTAACAGCGCTAGTTAATGAAACAAGAGATAATAACAACAAAAATAACTGTACAGGACAGAACAACGACAGACTCTTTAAAAACAAAATAACATCGCCAGAGTATATAAAAAAACACATAGCAAAAAGCTATTATCCTTTCTTTAGTAGACAAATTGTATCATCCTTTACACATTTTATTTAAGAGATTTCCCAATTTGTCTGAACTTGACAGAAAAGATGTTTTTTTGTTCAAAAATGTTAATATCAGTCCTCACACTCTTAAAACACACAATTCACTTGCATTTTCATTCCACAGAGTTTTTTTTAAAGCAAATTTCCAATCATCGTTGAATAACACTAGTTTAGTATACATCTGTCCCATTCTGGAAAATTTTATGCCCAAAATATATTTTCAACACTTTGAGTAAAATATTAGTGCCTTGAAAGAGGGTCATGCATGTGCTATAAATATTATCGACTTAAATTTTCCATAGTGATTATGGTACAGTAACAGCAACGATGCGTCTAGACAGAACAATCAACTATTCTAAACGCGAAAGGGTCACAACTGCAATATTTGGTGAAAGAAGCATTAAAGATATGTGTAAATTGCTTCAAGAAAAAACAACAAAAAACAAATGAAGTACAAAAAACAACAATTACCAGTCGGCTGATAATTATAATAATAGAAGTCAGCTGGACCTGAAATGCATCATAGGCAGCATTGAGATGAAAGACTGCAGCTAACCACAGAGGTAGTCTCCAAAGAATATAACTTTTGTGCTTGATTCTGCCACCTAGCCGAGTTTGTGGTAGTGGTGGTGGTGGTGATGGTGATGGGGGTAGTTTCGAATCAGCCTTTACTATAACAAACGCAGACAGTTTTGAACATTTTTCTTCTTTGCTCAAACAGTACGCCATAATCATAAACCTGTTACGATACGACCACGCTTTCGATTGAAAGGCGTTGCAAACTTGATATAAGAAGGGTCAGGCACAAATTTTGACGGAGGAGTTTATAAGGACTCTTATATTAGCTGCATGAAGCATGACTAAAATGGGGCAATCCTTAGCAACCTGTATATTCGTACTAGTGCTGACTCGAAATTCAAATCACAAAATGGAGGCATCTGTCAAATGTATTATTTTCAGCCATAACATAATTAGCATGCACACTAACAATGTCAGGCCATTTCTTTTAGCAAAGAAAACAATCAATACTTGCTCCAGACGCTCTTTGTCTCATCAAAAAGGGATAAAAAATAAAGCAGCTCAAACACATCATGCTAAAAACATCAAATTAGGAGGCTGGATGCACCTGGAGACACAATATGACCATTTGGATTTTCTCAACGGCTGGAGACAGTGTGGCTAAAAATATTCTAAGACGTCAAGTACAAAGTAAATCTGAGTACAACATTGTGCCACAAACCACATACTCTCATTCTCTCTAAAATCACAAAAAGATCTGTTTTGTCAAAAGTAGTAATATTTTAGTGATAACCATCACCCACTCAAAGATAAGGGTTATTCCAGTTCTGGTTAAAGTACACAATGAACCCCCCCCCCCCCCCCCCGCCACATTTTGTGTTAGTAAACCTGTTCACATGTTTATACCTGTTTCATCTACAACGCTTAAACATAATAACATCTTAGAAGTTGGTAAGCTCAATAACCAAGTTCTTTACTCTCATCCAGGTATTCATTACAAGTGCAACCGGAGGCAGAGAGATGACCATTTCAGCAGAGTGCAAGTAGTGCAAAGATCAAGTGAGAACCACTCAGAATAAAGAAATCCCACAAAACATAACAGAGAGAGAAGGACAAGAAAAGGCGTAACTTTACACACAGAAGAGATAGAGGAAAGAAAACAAACTAGAACAGCATAATATTTAAAATCAAAGGTTCTATCGCCTACAGCAACATCAAAGGCCCTTTTAATCTCTTTTAGTTTTAGTGTTTTACGGCATTTGCAACACAATAAGGTCATACAAGTGGCGAAGATTAGAAGTGTTACAAGAGAGTAACAAACACAAAAAAGAAGGAGGGGAGATACGGACGATAGATGTTTGGTACGAAAGAAGAAGCAAACCACACCAGAGCACCTGCCAACCACCCACAATCAAAGATTCTATCTCCTACAGCAACATCAAAGGCTTTTATTTTCTACAACGAAATACTATTGTCTTTAGTATTCTGCAGTGAAAAGAATTAAAAATACACCAAAGAGGAGACATCCAAACTACTAAGAATATTTTGTCAAACGTATTTGAATCTATCTAACTACAACATGCTTCTCCTTTGAAAACCCAACTAGGCCTACACCTATTTTTCTAATTCTTTCTTGTGCTAGCAATGAAGAAAGGGGAAAAGAGTTAGTGAAAGACTTGTGAAATGCTGAGAGACATGTCATGCAAAAACTACACCAAAACACACAGCACAGGATGTTCTGTCAGAAAAGCGGTGAATACGAAAGACAAAACAGAAAGACACACAAACACATGAACCAACATTCGCAACAAGACATACATACACACCTGTCTATCAACATATTATGTTCAAACTTCAAAAGGACAAACTGACTAGCCCCTCACTGAGCAAAAACTGGCACAGTGTTATAAAACAGAGGCAGTCAACTGGAAAAATCACCTGATTACTGTGTCTACAACTTCCTTCAATAAAACCGTTAAAGTTGAACTGAAACAAAAATCTTACATTGCATTTCCAGGGTGGTGACCTATTTGGAGCAAAACTCAAGAGCAAATCTGTTTGAGTACTAAAAAAAGAGAAGTAGGCACCGCTGTCGTGATTTATTAACCCTACAGTTCAAACACTTTTGCTTAGTACTCCATTGCTACACATACAACTATTTAAAAAAACAGCACCCCACCTGCTTAACCAGCATTATTGTAGGCCTCTAAATGCAATAACAAAAAAATAGGAAGCCACAAACAATGACTGGCAGAGACAAACGATTCAACGACTTACCCGGGACACCGTACATCTGAGGCTGGCTCACCCCTCCACCCCCTCCTCCGCCGTATAACGCCATGATGGAATCCTTGGCAGATTTCTTCTCCTCCCCACTGCCAGCCACTTGTGCATTGTCATTGCCGAACAGGTTGTTCTCAGAAGCACCGTTCTAGGAGGCAAAGTAAAAACAGCTTTTTAGTTTTAGTAAGTGTTTTACGGCACTTGCAACACAATGAGGTCATATAAGTGCCGAAGATTGGAGGTGTTACAAGAGAGTAACAAACACATAAAAGAAGGATGGGAGATAAAGACGATAGATGTTTGAGAGGAAAGAAGAAGCTAACCACACTAGAGCACCTGCCAACCACCCACTTAAAAGCAGCAACTAAGAATAGTTGTAAACATGCTGATAAACAAAAAAGCAAAACAAACAACAACAACAAAAAAACAGTTGAAGTTGCAAAAAGTTACAGCCCGCTGTATATACGATAACAAAATTCATACACATATGACATGTCAGGGCAAACAATTCCTATTAAATAATTTCATTAATATCAGTACTGCAAACTTCTGAATAGATATTCTCATTGCATGCATACACTGTACACTGATACAATTTCTCTTGTGTGCAACGCTGAGGACATCCCTCATTTTGGTGGGGATCACATCTGTCTGTTTTGTGGTAAGATCTAAGTGGGGTATTGCTGTCCATGGGCATTTGCTTTTTTGTTTTTCCTATAACTTTATATACTTCTTTCGAATGCGCAACTGTATTTGCTTTTCTCAATTGTATATTAAAGGTCATTGTGCGAAAAGAAAAGTCTGTGGATGAATTTTGCAGAGGACCAAGTAAACATTACAATTCTCATAGATTCAACTGCCTTTTACTAGGCTTGCCAAACTTTCAAAAAACCCAGTCGGGGGCTCTCGTGGCCTAGCCTAGAGGTGAAGTTGTTCGCCTCTCTTTCAAAACGTCCCCGGTTCGAATTCGGATAGCGACGGAAAATGTTCTTCTCTATAATTTTCTCCTTTCAAAACCTTTCCTGCTCTTTAACAATGTTCTGTCGTCTGTTTTCGTCTCCACTTTCTGCCCCCATCCCTTCATCTCCTTTGCCCCCTCCTCTGGGCTCCTGACTCTTTCTACAGTCTTTCTACTGATTCTCCATGGCTCCTTCTTACTGCTGTCTTTCAGCCACACCCCTGATCTAATGGTAGGTAAGATCTACACCTAGCCTTCTCGGACTAGGGCAAAAAATCGAGGAAGTCCCCTGTGCAACTTGGGCACATTCAAGATCCCTTGGTGGTCCAAAATCAACAACAGTAGGCTTCGGCTGCCACTCCAGCGAAATTCCAAATTCCGACCAACTGAAAACGTATGGTGTGTCATGCGCACTCATATGACCTTGTGCTGTTGCGAGCCCCGTAAAACACTTACCCCCCCCCCCCCCCAAAAAAAAAAACCCAACCCCGGGCAAAGATACCCAACATTATGACATCAGATTATGTAACAGCAACCAGAATCCCATCAAGAGGGGCTGGTTTTGGTGTAGCGTTTTCATATAATATCCAAACAATTTTGAACAGTTGATCTCGCACCCTGACGAGGACGTCATTCCCTATGCTCAACAGAAATTCAGTTTATGGACAGTGAAAGATCTTGTCAACTTGTTAAGTGCCTGAGCACCTGAAATCTGCAGCTTGCACTGTATGCCGAGAATGTTTCCGAGTGTCGTTGGGTCTGCTGAGGTAATAGATTGTAATGCGCATAGAGTATGCTGCAGGGCGTAAATATGCATTATATGAATGCAATTATTTTTATTTTTATTATTATTGTCATTATTGTTATTATCATTATTATTGTTATTATTATCATTATCATTATTTTTATTATTATTATTATTATCATTCTTCTTCTTTTTCTTATCATTATTAGTATTTTTAAAATTATTATCATTCTTCTTCTTCTTATTATTATAGTGTATGTGATAAGGCTCTCAAATTTCCAATTGCCGGATTCAGCACTGTCCGAGGAAATTCGCGACCGTTGGAAAAAGCCTGCTTTTACTAACAACCCCCCCCCCCCCTCCCCCCCAGAGTTTCTACCATGAGATCACTGGCGGCTGAGGACTGTCCAGGCGGGTTGGCCGCTGTCTCTGCAGGCTTGGGCTCTATGAAGAAGTCAAACAGCTCGTTCCCGCCGGAGCTAGGGGCTGGGGTGGCCTCTGCACATGTGAAAAACAAGGGAAAAAAATGTTTTTAAAAAAGAGGAAAAAAAAAAAGATTTATTACACTCCAAATTAAGGAAGCTCTCCTTACTTCACAACGAAAGCCGAGTTGTACTATGCTGGGAGTAAGCATGATGGCCACATTCGCCCAAACATAGATTCTAATAATATTAATAAAACAATAAAAAAAAAATAAAACAAACAAATAAATAAATAAATCCATCAATCAATAAAAAAGTAGTAGACCACATCTGATCCACAACTACCTGCTATTTTATGAGAAGTATTCACTGATGTAGCAACTGAAAGAACATTGTACAAGACTTTGACTCCGTTTTCCACTTTCTGATCTTTCTTTGTTGGGCACAAATAAATACATTCATTCACAAAGCAGTGCATACACTACATAGCATGATGAATAATTACACCGAAAATATTGACTAAACATGAGCAAGGTGATGATAGTTATATGACCGGAACAGTTTGTCAGCAACAACCCCAAAAACATTTGGAAAAATACTGAGAAGATCTCACCATGGCCAAAACTTTTTCTACAATTAATCTAAACACCAGGTTTGTTCTTCCTCAACTTTAACCCAATCCGTACGTCGTGTTTACTATTGTATCCATACGACGTGGGGAACTCTGTGCCACCACTTTCCAATGAGGAAATTTACTCGTTAATCCGATCCGTACGCTTAGCAGTCTGTCAAAAGGATTTTTTTGAGAAATACTGAAAGTAGTGAAAGTTTCAAAGAAATCTTCGTACTAGAAGTATTCTAAAATGTGAAGAATACAATGCGGGAGTACAAAATGACCCCATGGCGTATGGATAGGGTTAAATGTTTAACCACCACCATCAGATGCACTGATGCATTATAGTAATAATCTGTCAGTACCATTTTATCAACCAGAATATTTAAAGTAAAGGTGTGTGTGCGTGTGTTTGATACCCCACTGATAATAGTTAATGACCCCGGAGAAAAAGAGATTACAAAATGATAGGAAAGCCATAGCCAGTTAGGAGAGTGATTGTGAAATTCTACAACCCTTATACTAGAGAAGAAAAAAAAGCCCAACTTACTACAAATTGTCACATAAATGTTTTCACTCTTTTTCAAATAACAGACAAAATTAGAAACTCTGCAGCATGTAGCAAAAATGCAAAGCTGAAACACAATGCACGCCATTATTTCACTGAAAAGGCTAAACTTAACGCAATGTGAGCAGCGAGTGGCAGCGAGGAGGCATCCACTGGGAAGAAGCACACGCAGGCTTTCAGCTTGCTGTTGGGAGATCTCTTGGCATACAAGGTTGGTACAACAAGACGATCAATTAATGTCACACATACTACAAACAACTGGGTTAACACAATGAATTCTGTGAAAGAACATGGAATAGGTAGAGGTAAAGAAAAGCTGTTAATCACATATATTCAGCGAAAGTAAAGAAACTACTTACTACCCTGAGGGGTTAAAAAAGAAAAGAATCCTTCTGTTATATGAAAAAATCCATAAATTCATTGATAGAAACTGACATGCAGACAGATAAGGCAAAATATTCAAAGCAGACACAGGCAGTAGGAGAGGGACAGCCAAGAGGCCAGCAACTTGTTTCTCAAATCAAAGTATCTGGTTCAGCTCCCAATCCGAGCAAATACGGGTATTGCTTATTGGGTAATTTGGATTTCACACCATTGATCTTAGGGCAGGAACAATGCAGAAACTCGTCTTCTCTGATCACAACTAAAAAGAAACCAAAGGCCCTTTGTGCCCAATAAAGATCTAAAAGATTCTTTTGTAGTCACCTGACGAAGAAGAGCAGACCTGCTCTGGCTTGCTGTACAGTCCAAAATGTTTTAATCATCTTGTTCCAACCAGAAAAAACTCAGTATTACAGGTAGAAATGGACAGCATTTGAAAATCAAATAAGGCTGCACAACAGGCCAGAAATAGTAAGCTCTCATACAAAATAGGCCACATACGTAACAATCAGTTGCATTGTGAGTCTCAAAATTGTAGAAAACGACCCAAGAGAAAGAAGAAGAAATTATATCAAATGAATAAAAGACAGAATAAAAAAGAGGTTTACTCTCACCAAAACAATGTATAATGAACTGACAGGAAAAGAAGCCAAAAAGAGCACTAGCCAGGAAGAAAGCCAGTGTGATTTAAAAGAGTAGGGAAAGCAAATCATACCAAAGCCTATGCCAAATCAAATGCCAGCGAGTAAGCAAAAGATAAAGAGTAAGAATAAGACAAGACAAAGACATGACAATCAAAGCAAATGCAGAAACAGTGTGATGCTGGGGAAGAAAAAAAAACCCTGAGAGAAAATCCCAAATGATGCTATCAAAGTTTCCAATTTGTCTTTGTGAATAAGAAAAACCAACCACCAGAAATTGTGAAACACTTTGAAAGACACAACATAAAAAAAAGACTAGATCTACTCCCTGTAATAAAATACCATCTTGCACATGAGTCTTGTGAATAACCGCTCAAAATATAAAATAAATTTACCATGTCACATATATATATAGTGACATATCAAACCTTCCTAAAAATATACCACTGTGGAAGTATGAAAACTAGACAACGAAACCCAAAAAATCTGAATCTACAAAAAGAAAAATCCACAAATAGCAGTTGTTTCCAAAAACAACACTAATAACCAAAAATGTCTGAATTCCATTCTTAGGACATGCCATATGCCACAAAACAAAATATGCACACATACAAACACTCTCTCTTTACTTCACATTCCAGACCATGCCTAAATCTAAAAAGTAAATCCAAGCAAAATTTGCTCAGTTTATTGAGTCTGACTGAAGTAGGCTGGAATGTTACAGAAAGAAGACATGATGCGTTAGTTCGTCACCAGTGCTTCTCAACATTTTCAATGTATGCAATACGCTGTTGAGACTTTGGTGAAACAATATCCATCCCCCTCCCCCACTATCTAACTTTCGAACTTTTACTGAAAAGTGCACTCCTTTAGTTTCCCATATCCCCAAGAGTAACTTAACCCACTTGGTGAAGAAGCACTGTAAAGACCAGCAACTGTAATCTACTGATGACCTACTACAATGTGAGGACAACAGGTTAAAGAGAAGAAAACAACCCACTACGATAACTGGCTTCCAGACACAGATCCCTCGATTCACAAGCAAAAATACTCCTGTATTACAAATTCGCATCAACCTACCATTCTCCCTATATTGAACGGAGAAAAATCACTTTGACGTCCAACTAAACAACTTTAAAAAAAAGTTAAGGCAAATTTCACAAAAGGATCATTGCGCAACAACCTCTACTTGAACTCTGTGGTTCTCCTTGATACTGCTTTGCATAACACAGAGGCAACAAAATTCACCCACAGTCCCACTTTTTTGGTCTCCTGAGGCAAGACTGCTGTAAAAAACAGTCTTAAGTTATTGTCAGTTGTACAACGTACAGTTTTAACTCTTTAAACCCTGAGTTTTTTACACCATTTCTCTGAGTTTTTTCTACAGTCACCTAAACCTAGTGCACTATGTCTCATTATAACCCCAAAGCTTGCCTCCAACTTCTAAACGGCGGAAACAAAGGCTTAGTCATTATTAAAAAACTTGGTTCAGGAATAGTTCCGAAAAACAAAGTAAAAACTAGCACTAAATGAAATGAAACAGTTGTCACTAGTATCGGATGCTCCCAGCATCTGACAGGGAACAGGGTTATTACCAATAGACGCTCCCACCGTCTGATGGGGTTTAAAGAGTTAATTTATTGCCTTAAGTACAGTCTTAACACTTTGCGGTCACTTGGCGCAATAACGCGCTGGTAAAAATTATCTGTTCCGGTCACCTGGCGCAGGCCCGAGAAGTCCGTGGCAGTCACTCTCCTGGCTGGGTGACTAGATTGGGTATTTTGTACTGTGCAACTGCAAAGTAAGTTACTGCCTCTTTGATTTTGGAAAGTACAGATACAAGACTCACGCAAGAGGCCCCAGAACAATATATTTAAGAGAAAAACAAATATGCTTAAGGTGTTAGAAAAGAAAAGTAAGCCACACTCTTTCCATAAATGCCCGGGCCAACTTTTTATGATCATTACTGAAAAGTTCATTGTGCTCTCTCACTGTCAAGTTAAAACCTTTATGTGGATACTAAAAAAGTACAAAAGTTTCATACTGTGTCAGAGAGGCAACCTTTAATTTTTTATTTTTTTAAAAGCACAAAAGAACCAATATACGGACAGGGTAAAATAACTTTTTGCTATTTCCCTCAAAACCTAAAACGACATGGGCAAATATGGAATAAATGTGCAAAGTGTTATTCTGTAAATTAAAATTAAAGATAAATTCAAATTGAATCGTCATCACTTCTCAATGTATAGAACAGGTTATGACAGAACTGAATCATGCAAAAATGATGTCTCTGAGGACAAATCATTTTACAAAATCGTTGTTTCCAAATGATAAGGCAGGGGGGGTTTGAGCAAGACAGCACCCAAAAAAAAAAAAAAAAAAATTAGAACAAACGTCTCAGAAAGCCGCCCCCGAAAGTAAACAAAAAAAGGTGCTAAAGTAGTATCACTTACGCTGAACATTAGTTTGCTGTGGGGCACCTAAATCTATGGACAGAAAGATTTGGCCACACCATCTGTTACAAAGTACATTTCAAACACAAAATACGCACAATAGACATCACGAAAACCAAAGCACAAAATCAGCTTTACTAATATTCACTCATTAAAAAAATTACCTCTACACTGAAAAAGAAAACAAAAACCCAAAGGATGTTAATGATAGTGTGAGTTGATGATTTCAGAAGAACTTTTTTAATAAGTAAAAACCATTAGGGTTCGCAAAGAAAAGATAATAATTTTTTTTTTCAAAAGATAGTAGTAGTAGCCTACAGAGCATTTTCCAGTAATATTTCAAAATAGAAAGTGCATAAAACAGGGGAAAGGTGCAACAGACAACATCAAACACCACATAATTCAACAGTTTCAGACCACCTGATGCTTTTTAACAAACACAAAGGAAAATCTTTTTGAAACATGAAGACAGACTTGACAGTCACTCTTTGTTAAAGATCCTAAAATTACAGAAGAATTTAATGTTAAAGAAATCCTGCTAACACTATCAAAAGTGAATGATTAAGGTACTATATATAACTAAAACTATAAACCTTTCTCAAACTCTATGCCTACAAAAGCAAGGTACAGATTCTGATGTTGAAAACCATGTTTCAACCATTAACTTAAGATTCATTCAGCTTTATTTTATATGATTAGAGATTACAAACAGTAAAATGTTACAAATATAATTTGCAGCAGTTATAAGCCGCAAGGTGTAAGAAAAAGGAATCAACAGCATAAGCACACTTGCAGAAAGGTTAACTTTCAATACTGAATGATTCTTTATTCTTTTGGGGTGTTTCTTGTATTTTCTAAAATAAAGAAGAGAGATATAAGATTGGTACAGCATGAATCTCACTCTGTTTAAAAAAATACAGCACACTGAAGAGTCATCCCGGAAAAAAACGTAAAAGCTAAAAGAAAGATATGGTCGGCAGCAGGGTGTGCTATTATGGAAGCTGCCAACCATATGTAGCTAATGCGGTCTCAACGAGATTTTTTAAAAAGCCTTGCTTATAAAAGACAAAATCATGAAGTGACTGATTTTAGTGATGGAGTAGGACCAAAAAAGTTACATTCATAGGAGAATTAAAAGGCAATTGAGACAACAAGTGATAGCGTCTACAGAAAAGTTTTCCTTATTAAACTAAAACAGTCACATTCATGGAATCTCTATTCTCTAAAAAAAATCACCAAAAAACCCACAGCAAACAGCATGGAACGAGATGATGAAAAAGGAGCATCAAGGACTCTTGTCTGGTAAATAGGCCAAAATAACTGAACAGACAACACTGTCACTGCATAAAGAAAGTAAGGAACGGAAATGCAGTGAGAGACCTACCTAAACCTAGAAGGTCGTTTGAAGCAGAAGCTTGTTTCACTTCTGGTTGGGCAGGGACTTTCACTTCAGCCTTTGTAGCAGTGTTCTGTCTGGGTGCATCAACGGTGCTATTGGCAGCTTTCTCAGTTGCCTTTGGTATCTAGAGGTTGGAAAACCATGATGGAAAAATGGCGATCAGTCGATGATTCACTAATATCATGCCTTTTTCTTCAGAACATTCATGAGAGCAATAAATCACAACATGGTTTTTCTAAGCAATGTCTCTTCACAATCAAAGAAAACTAACCTAGTAGGCAAAAAACTATATAATATGAATATATACACCCACTATTCATATTATGATCATTATGTTGAGTGACCGTTTGAGTGATTTAAAAAGAAACCTGCACTAAGATACACTATAAAGGTATATTTTTCAGAAAAACCTTGTTCATAGGGCGTACAAGAAACTACCAGGAAAGAAATTGCATAACTGACAAAGATCTTCTGAAAGCTCATTCATAAAATGTTGAGGTATGTTTTATTTATAACAACAATATGCAATCTTTTCCTATCCTTGTCATCAACCCCGTTGTTATCATCTTTTTTTTCTTTAGTAGAGGTTTTACCGTGCTCGCAACTGCGTCGTAAGGTCATATGAGCGCCAGAAGATTACAGGTGTTACAAGAGAGTAACAAACATAAAAAAGAAGGAGGAGAGATCAGGACCATATATGTTTGATAGGAAAGAAGGAGCAAACCACACCAGAGCACCCGCCAACCACCCACACTTAACAGTTTGTGACAGGTAAAACAAAAAGAGCCACTATAAACAATCTTGCACTCACAGAAGGGAGCTGCACACCCCCGGCTGGCTTGGCTCTGGCCCGCTTCTTTTCTGCTTTGCTGTCCTCCAACCACTGAAACAAGACATAACATGACAATGAATGAAAATATGAATATTTTAATTCTAACCCTTTTCACTATACTGTTTTGAATAGTGTTGGTTGCTTCACGTCTTTGTTCAAGTAAAAAGAGAGAAAAAGTAATATAATGGTAGTTAAGTCCTTCCAGAGCCAGCAAGGCTTATAGAAGAGAGACTGCATTTATCCCCGGTTTCTGTTAAGAAAAATAAAAAGCAGCAGATGATGCAAGATCCCCTCTTGAAGCAGACGCCAGTTCACAGCAGGTTTACACCCCAGCAGACGCTGACACTACTTACCAAAACAATCCTACAAGGAACCGTACAAGGAAAGAGAAACAGAGGAAGGCACAGAAGGAGATGAGAGGACAACATCACAGAGTGGACAGGGAAGACGATGGGCGACAATCTGAGGAAAAAAGGACAAAAAGAAATGGCGAGAGCTGGATTTCAGATGCAGTGGTGCCCCCACGGTTGCCACAACCACGGGATAGAAGAAGAAGAAGAAGGAGAAGGAGAAGGAGAAGGAGAAGGAGAAGGAGAAGGAGAAGGAGAAGGAGAAGGAGAAGGAGAAGGAGAAGGAGAAGGAGAAGAAGAAGAAGAAGAAGAAGAAGAAGAAGAAGAAGAAGAAGAAGAAGAAGAAGAAGACACTGACAGCCTAGTAGCATCATGGGAGAGTGAGGAACACACTGAAGACCTGAGAACAAGACTGTGCCGTAGTCGGAATTTACTCAACGGAAAAAAATGGCAAAACAAAAACACATTGGTCTATTTTTGCTTTGTGATACACTGCAGTTTTTCTCTTCTTCTCCTTTCATCATTAACAGTAGAGTGTCATATGCACTATCAATAGATGCGGGAAAGTCTTCTTTATTTATAGACACCACTAACTCAATTTTTGCCATTTTGGACTTGGGCAAAGTATTGTTCTCAGGTCTTCAATTATGTAAAATGTCCTCCCCAAAGGTACAAACATAACAGAAGGAGGACAGATTAGGATGACAGATGTTTTTGTTTTTTTCGTAAGAGTTTTACGGCACTTGCAATAGATGTTTGAAAGGAAAGAAGAAGCAAACCACACCAAAGCACCCGCCAACCACCCACGAAATCATGTAGAGTGTTCCAGTTAGTTTTAGTCAGAGTTATACTGCATGTGCAACATAATTAGGTCATGTATGTACCGAAGAATAGAGGTGTTTGAGAGTAACAAACACAAAAAAGAAGGAGGAGAGGTAAGGACGATAGACGCTTGAGAGGAGCAAACCACACCAGAGCACCCGCCAACCACCCTGTGTGTTTCAGACCTGACCCATCAAGGATACTGACAGGTCAGATATGCTGGCTGCAGGCTGACAAAGATACCAGCCATGGTGAAAGAGAGGATAAGTAATCTGCACTGCACACACCAGAGAACTCATTAGCCCAAAACACTTGCTGTTTGTTATTGTACGAGTGGAAAATGCTCTCGTGGACAAAAGCAGGTTATTTCAATGGTTGAAGTTTAAGCCTAGAAGTAAGAGTAAAGAAGAATGAAGACAGTTTTTGTTTAGTTTTAGTAAGAGTTTTACAGCACTTGCAACACAAATAGGTCACATAAATGCCGGACATCAGTAGTTTTACTAGAGAGTAACATACAAAGAAGTTAAAGAGGAGAGACAATGATGATAGATGTTTGAAAAGAAAGAAAGAGCAAACAACACCAGAGCACCCACCAACCACCTATAGATGTTTATTTGTTTGAAAAAAGAGAAGCGCATCGACACAATAATGGTCATTCATTTAGTATTGAGGAAAAGTAAGACAGACAGGCAGAAACAACAGAGAGAAAATAAAGAAGTAGGACCTACCAGTGGCACTGTCCAACCACCTGTGCCCATAAAAGAAAGAGCGAAAGAGTGCAAAGAGAACAAACTAAAGGAAATACCACATGTTGTATTGGGACACAGCGATCATATTTAAATCTGAGAATTGACCATCATGGGAACACACCAAATATTAATGACAAGGTACTGTCTGTTGATGTGTGCAGTCCACTTATCACACTATTATTACCCCCAACCCCCATGAAAAATGTTTTTTTAGTCCTAGAAGAGGTTTTACAGCGCTCCAAACTGCATAAGGTCATATGAGCGCCAGAAGATTAGAGGTGTTACAAGAGAGTAACAAACATAAAAAAGAAGAAGGAGAGATAGGGATGATAGATGTTTCATAAGAAAGAAGAAGCAAACCACACCAGAGCACCCGCCAATCACCCACTTAATGTGTTTATTGGCTAGATAGATAAACTAAAATAGATTTTGTCAGTGTAGTGAAAAATGCTAAATATACAGGAAAGTAATGAAAGCAAAAACACATTGACCATTGACAAACATCAATTTAACCATTCAATATAAATGGTGGTAGGGGGAGAATTTTCTTATGTCTAAGTAATTATATAAAAATATTTGTTATAATGTAAGACAAAAAATGTATATTCTAAACAGAGCAGCATAAAAGAAAAAGGAAAAAAAATCCCAAAGCAGACAGGATAACTGTATTTATTTGAGAAGTTTTGAAGACAGCATCAACCCAGACTGTATCAAAATGACTTGATAATACACCTCAAGCTCAATTGTTTACACGCCTTAGAGTGGATGACGAGATTCTTATTACATAAGTCACTCTGTACATTGTAAAGAGGCAACATCTCTCTCTCTCTGTTTCTCACTCTCTCTGTCTGTCTCTCTCTCTCACACACACACACACACACACACACACACACACATAAAAACACACTTAAAAGAAGCAGAACACGAAAAACCAAACCTAAATCAAACTGTCCATGGCATCCTTTTACCTAACTAGTCAATCCGCTAAAAACAAAAAGAAACCAAAAACAAAAAAACCCCAACAAAAAACAATTAAACAAACAAAACAAAGTGTAAGCCCAACGTAGCATCTGTAACTATCCAAATGGAAAAGCTATCAATTAAAAGGGGGTGGCGCAGACTGCGTGAAATCAATAGACTGCACAAGTCTGTCACCCCCCCCCCCCCACACACACACATATGGTGCGTGTTAAACCATAGCTCAGTCACTGCAATCTGTTACACATGCTGCTGTACATACACATATAATAATATGTACGTACGTACGCAGTACGCCCACAGCCGTGTGACCCTGTGCTATCATCACATAGAATTATTAATTAGCATTGCTTCTCTCCGGG